CTCAATTCTAAGTTACATGTTGGGCACTGGGGCGTGGAAAGTGTCAAGGATGACAACTCCCGTCTGATTTAAAATAGTTGGATGGTGCCACTAAATGAAATGAGGAGGGGTAGAAAGTAAGAGTTCATTTTTGGTCACACTGACTGTTAGCATTGCCTATGAGGCAGCCAGGTGGAGATGCAAAATTCTCAGAAGAATATGCAAGCTTGGGCCCAAGGGAGAGATATGAACTGAAGATACAACTGGCATCCATCAGTATATGGATCCCACTGGAAATCATAGGACTAGGGGATGTCCCATAGGAGTGAGTATTTATGGAAAGGGGAGTCAAGGCCTGAGCTCTGGGGTATACAGGCTTCAGAAGCAATAAAACAGCAGAAAGAAACAACAGAACCCAAGGAACAGATAGTGAGATGTTAGGAAAACCAGGAAAGGTGTGATGCTATAGAAGCCAGCTAGTAAGTAACTGACAATGCCGATTGGGAAGTCCTGGCCAGCAGTAAGGGTTAGGCTTGGACCCGATTGCACATTAACACTCCGGGAACAATGCAATGCAGATAGCAAACACACACGTTTATTACAGCCGTTCAGAAGAGATAAAACTGATGAAAGCAGTAGCAGAGTATAAATAAAATAATACAACGCGCCAGGCGCATGCTAGTTCTCCACATCAGGAACATTTGAACCACGCTCTTGTAAGCAGCCTGTGGAGTCCATTCCCCACTAGAGCTTTAGAACAGTGTCCTATTGACGAGACTGTGCCAAAAGTGCTTTTCTTCCCACCATCCTGTTAAGAACTGCTCGGCTAGAAAAGCCTTTGGTCAACCTCTGGATTTCAAACAAGTAGCTGCTTCTTTTGAGAGCAGTATAAGGTCTCCTTCTGCAGAAGCAATGATGCTCTTGTACAACAAAATCACCCTTCTATGATTTTTTTCCCTTCTGGAACAGACTGGCCTCTGTGCTGGTCTCCGAAGAAAGTATCTGGAGCCACTCCCTCCCCCTTACATTCTCAGCTGGAAAAAAATAGCCCATGAGCTGTCCCTTTCATACTGTGGGCCTGTGGTGTGGTAAGTCTGCTTCAGATTAATTCAATTAAACACCTCCGGCTGCATCTGTTAGACACCCTTTTTTATGGGCCAGATTTATTTTAATAGGATCAACATATGTTATATACAAAGGTAACTATTAAATAATTATAAACAAATAATTGCATCACACTCCAAGCCAGTTTTGCATCTCCTGCCAGATACAAAACATTTACTTTAATAAATTTACAGTGAGCAATTTGCATAAAACCGTTGAAAGTGGGGATATTTTCAAAGCAGCTGCTTATGTGATATGATTAAGCGAAATCTTCCCATCCCCCATTCCCACCCACACAAGCCATTAGTCATTCCTTTGAATTAATACATTGAAGGCCTCTGTTAAAATTAAAATATTATCTCCTAATAGAGAGACAAATGAAGCTATTAACATTTAGCTTGAGTTAGTTGATTGAATTCCTTAATCACTTAGCAAGGTCTTTTGTGAAAGGGACCCAGCAGCTGTTAAGTTTTGAGGAGGGAAAGGAAAGGTCCAGAACATTCCCTTGGGAGGAAAGACAGGGTTAGGGAGTTCTGTACAGAGCTCTGGGAAGTTGGGGGCGCTTTCTGAAGCACTGGAATCTCAGGTGCCAGGGAGATGGCTAAAATACAAAGGATAGGATCATTTCTAAAGGGTGAGAAAAGCCATTAAAAGCAAATCTCCTTTGCTGTCGGTTCTGCCAAGAGTGGGCTAGCTTTGTGCAGGTAGACCCCTAATGTAAGTGGCCATTTCTTTACATTTTAGAAAAGTCTCCATTGTTCTGTGGGGATCTTATCAAGAGAGACTGAAGAACAATTCACAGGGCTCAACAGATTTCTCTCTTCAATTTGTGACTCAACATTTTTTTTGGTAGATATACTTTTTTGGTTTTGTTTTAAACGATCAAAGAACATTCTCTTTTGGGGGGGGATATTGGAGACAGCGTTTCTTTGTAATTGTTCTGCTTTCCTGGAATTCACTCTGTAGAAGAAGTTGCCTTAAATTCAGAGATCTGCCTTCCTCAGCCTCCTGAGTGCTGGGATTAAAGGTGTGTGCCACTATGCTTGGCTCAAAACAGATTCTTAATGCAGGGTATCCAGTTATCAAAAGATTTCCAGAAATACTAGCGTTAGTTTTAGGGTCACTTTGTATACAAGGCATTACTCAGCTCGTCTACACATGTGCGGACACACACGTTTTGTTTACACAAACGCGATGATCTATACTTGTTCAGTATACTTCTTTATTTTCACTTGTTTTCTGTGGTACAATATACATCACGTGCAATTTTTCCTCTTTACTTTTTAGTGCACAATTAGTTGCATTAAGTACTTTCATGAAACAAATTATTTCTAGGAAAATTTCCAAACTCCCAGACAGAAAGCATGTATGCTTTAACCAACTCCTCATTCCCTCCTGCCCCCCACCCTTGTGTAACTTTCATTCTGCTTTCTATCTCTATGATCTTCACTCTTTCCAATTGTTTCTAAAATGTCAATTAAAAAGCTCGAGAAAGACGAAACAGCACATACAGTACTGGATGCTTCCCTGTCATGGTTTGGGTCTGAAACATCCCACACAAAGCTTATGCATTGAAGGCTTTGTCCCCACTGGATCAATCTATGTTCAGAGACGGGCCTTTGGGAATTAACTGGATCATGGCGGCTTTACCCTCTCCCCCCCCCCCATCGATGGATTTGTCCATTGATGCATGTGTGGTTTAAAGGACTATTGGGAGATGGCAGAAACTAGGATGTGGGACCTGGTTCTAGGAAGTAGGCCCTTGGGTGTGTGCCCACTGGGACTTCCTACCCTCCTTTTCCTCCCTCTCTCTCCTTGTTCCTTCCTACTTAACTTCATCCTATAGTTGCTACCATAATGTTCTGCTTCCCTGTAGGCTCCCAAACAGTAGGGCCGGTGACTAGGGACTGAAAATTCTGAAATCATAATCCAAAACAAAGCTTTCCTCCTAAATTGTTTCTCAGATTTTCATCACAGTGACCAAAAGCTGATTGACACTTTTTCCTTCCTCTGGCTGACCTTTAGGTAAGCAATACAATCAGTTTCTGGGGCATCTCTACAGAGAACACATACACATATACAAAATGCCTCCTTCCTTTTCTTGCTACTAGTAGCATAGCACACCCAGTTTTGGACTTACCTTTTTTTTTACCAACAGCCTAGGCCTCTCAGCAGGCAGACTGACTCCAGACAAATGTATATAGAGATCTATACACACCAAATTGCATATATTTTAACATTTATGTTGTGTATTTGCCCACCCTGTTATGCCAGAATCAGCAGATTTCTGACTCATTAACTTAAAAAAAATCAACTGTTTCCTTGTGTCAAAAGTCCCATGGCATGGAATGTACCCATCTGACCATTTTGCAGGATACAGTAATACTATTGACTTTACACAACAAATCTTTAGAACTGCCCTCATCACTTTCTTTTGCATTTTTTTTCTGATGGATAGTCATGTTGACCATCTTATTATCTGCTATTCTTTCCCTTTTTGAGAAATACCCATCCCACTTATCCTTCGCCCATTTTAAAACACAGGACTTCTTTATATGTTTGAGATAATAAGTCCTTATTATATACCGGCTTCAAATATTTTCTACCCTTCCCACCTGTGTTGATTGTGTATTCTGCTGTGTAGGCGTTGGGTGCTACGCAGTCTCATTTGTCATTTGCTTTTGTTGTCTGTGCTTTGGGTATGACACATTGGCTTTTACATCTCTCAGTGCTGTCCTTCCCTTAAGGTGGCATGGTTGGGTTTTTCCTTTCCTTTCCACCCCAGAGTTCTCTAGCACACCGTGTAACAGCGCTGTTGGCTGACTGCTATTGGTTCATTGAGGGGACACACCCAGCTACCTTCATTTTTTTTTTTTTTCTGGATTTGTTCCCAAGCACAGTAATAGAAGGCTCTTGTGAGAAGGGCTGTTTTCTTATTGCTTTCCCCGTCTCTCTTTTTGAGTGGAGCTCAAAACACTATCTCCCGGAGGCGCTTCCTTCTTTCAACCACCTGAAGTGGGGCTGTGGTCTTTGAGCCAATGGTAGGTCAATAGGCAGGCTGACTCCAGACCAATGGGAGGCTCCTGGGTTCCAAATGGAACAATCGTACTAGGGACGTTGAATTCCCAGATGGCTAGCATCTACCTCGTTGACCTCTTGCTAATGACTGACTGTCTAGTCTTGTTGGTCAAGGATCTGAAGGTGCAAAAGAAACCTTGCCCCCCCCATACGCTTTTAGTAGCTTTAATCCACTCGAACAACTTGTGCCCAAGGCCAATAGAACATAGCCATTCTCCCTTTGTAAAAAAGTAAAAAGGGGTTGGGTTTCCTTCAATTGTCTGCTCTTCTCCTCCACTATTTTTGCTTTACTCTCTAGTTAACTTTGCATCGAGCAGCTTCACCAGTAGGACCTGTGCGGAAGATCCAGGCAGACTCTTCTCATTGGCGGCGCAAAGGCCTTTTCCTTGCTCTAATCAGGGGGTTTGTGGAGGTAGTGGGTGGTAGGTGGAAGAAGAGTTTGGCCATAATCTTCCCCTGCACTTCACACACACAGTACCCACTTGCGGTCTCTCTCTCTCTCTCTCTCTCTCTCTCTCTCTCTCTCTCTCTCTCTCTCTCCCTCTCTCTCCCCCCCACCCACACACACACACACACACACACACACACACACACACACACGCCTGCTCAGGCCCCTTTTCTCTGTGTCTTCCATCAAGATGACAGGGCGCTGGAGAAAAGGCTGCTGGAATCAGCTGGTAGGTACAGTAGTAATCTGAACCCCACCCACCCTCTGCCTTTGCTTGCTCAGGTTTCTCCGGTCACTCCTGCCAGGGGAGAAAACATGTAAGCGCGCCTCCAGAGGAGGGGCTCGGGGAGCTGGGAGTGGCGGGGGCGGCGGAAGGTGAGCCTAGAAAGGTGGCCCAGCGCCCCTTCTGCACGGGCCCCTCCCAGTGCTCCCCTGGGGTGTCAGCTTCGGCTCCACTTGCCCCCACTCCACCCTCCTTTCGAAGGGATTGCCCTTTTTTTTTCCTCTGCGGCGGCGGAAATGACAGTGTGGTGCTGCGGTGGTGTCATGGTGCTGCCTCTGGACTGAGAGGCAAAAACTCTTAAGTTTCGCCCGGGAGACCCAAACGCGGGAACGTCGCGGTCTCCGTGCTGTCCCCTGTGGGGCGCGCGGGCTGGCGGATCCCGGCTGCTGCGCGGCGGCAGCGGCGGCGGCCGCAGCGGCGAAGGCGGGCGGCGGCCTAGAGTGGTGGTGGCGGCGGCGGCAGCGACAGCGGCCCGGGAGCTCGCGCGGGAGCCCCAGCCAGCTTGCTGAGGAGGCCGGCGAGCGCCCGGCGCTCCCAGGAGCACAGAGGAGATGGCTGGCACCCGGGAACAATATGGGTAAAACGTGTCCCCTCGCCGCGGCCCGGGGGGAGAGGGGGGGTCGAGTGTCGCCACCCGCGCAGGGCTTGGGCCCCCGGCTCCGGCTGCTCTTCAGGTGCCGCCGGGGCCGGCGCTGGCCGAGGACACCCGGGATCGGCGGGAAGGGGGGTTGGTTGGGGAGTGGGGGGAGACGGGCAGACGGGATCCGCAAGGCTCCCGGCGGCAGTAGCGGGGGCCCGGGGTGTATGTCACACTGTGGTGACCCGGGTTCCTGCCACTGCCCTCGTGGGAAGGAGTTTGCACTCCTAGATCCCAGGCGGGGGAACGGCCCGGGGCCTCCCGCTTGGCCAGGCCGAGCCGGGAGAAAGCAGTGGAGCGGCTCTCCTGGCGCCCAGGCGTAAGTCTGGGAAAGGGCGCAGCCGCCTTCCCACGCTCCCGCAATCCACGGCGTCCTCGGCCCGGGCGGCGCCCTTAGGTCGGCGGTTTGCTCAGCGGTGCTGGCGCAGCAGCCTGGGATGCTGCTTGTGGACACCCAGCCGGCGGGAGCCCGGGAGAAACTTAATCCCCCTTTTCGCTGGGGGAAGCGATCTTCAAGTCTCTGACTGGGTGGTTCCTTCTTTTTGGCCTAGCTGTGAAAGCAGCGCCGTGGGGGAGAGGGAAAACTTGAGTGTGTCCACAGGACACGCTGCTGCTGAAGCAGGGACATGAGAGGCTTTCCCATTTCGGGCTCGGAAGAATTAAGTAGCTAGCGGCAGAGCAGATTTACTCTAACATTTCTGGTGATGAGCTGGCTTAGGTTATTTCGCACTTCACGTGCCGCACGTTATTTATTTATTTTGGAGGCATTTCTATTTCGAGCAAGAAATTAGGGTCCTGAGACGCTCGGACTCCTCACTTTTCACACTCTTCCGCACTCCTTCGGCAATGTCACTGTTATGCCTCTTCTTTCTGTTACCCTCACAACATTTGCCTTCCAGCTCTCTCCCCAGAGTCCCTGCACTCCCAGCTTTTCGCTAGCAACCTGTGCACATCCAGCAACACAGCTTCTTGCTTTTTGAATCACTTTGCTTTTTTGAATATTTTGGAGGGTGGGGCTGGTGAATGGCAGTTGTGTGTCTCTGAGAGGGAGGATTTATGAAGGAAAACACTGGGGACTATAATAATAGACAACTGTTGTGCATGGATTAATTAATCTGATTCTCAAATTGGACCACAAGGGCTGACAATCCCATTCTACTTCCTCTCCGAAATCGAATCAGTTCTCTGACAATATTAAAATAGGAGATGGGGCTGCCAAATTTGAGAGTTCATATTCCTCACTTCTGCTTATGAAGCTTTTGCTATACCTGGATTACTCCCCCCCCCCGCCCCCAACACACACCTTTTTATCTCCTCCCCAGTCACCACTGCCCTGAGGGGAAAATCAGTCTTTGCTATTTTCGTATATTCCTGCTCAATCAATTAACTTAATACAGATTCATAATGTGAATTAAATTTCTCTTGATTGTTCCTTACAAAACTCGATTCATGTGGTTGAAGCACAAGTCTTGGAGCCAAGAAGATGAGAGAGCCCATTGCAAACGCGGTGCTGCATTGGCTTTACGGCCTTTGGACATTTGTGTGCCCTTTCTTTCACAGCTGCTGCACTTGCAGAAAAGGCATAATATTATGTACTGGGTATTATGAGCATTGGCTTGGCCCTTTGAAGATAAAAGGATTCTATAAACCTCAGCATTATACTTTTCAATGAAAGCACTTCATTTATCCTTTATTGGGCTACTGGGTTGACTGGGTATAAATGGGAACACCAATTTACAGAAACCTTAATTTGCCATTATTAGTCCCCTTGGGATTCAAATTATCATTGTAGTTTGGGCCTTAAGTCAATTTGTTTCACCAAATGTGTGTGCAGCTGAATGGAACATAGACAATTAGGCATAGAAAGTAATGGTGATGATTTTCAGTCGAGTCATAAATCATATTGGCTGCACTCTAACCTAACAATCTGAGTCAGGCTCATTTGAATACACAGCCTCACCCATTTTTAGCCAACATGGGGGGTAGTTAGTTAATGCCCAATAAAAAGTGGCACAGATAGTTTTAGGTCTGGCTGTACAAACATGATTAGCACCTTGCAGCAATGAGTCAATATTTTTAAAAGCACCTTTACTGCACGGAGGCCTCTGCTGGCTGTGTTGAAGCCCCAGACTTGACCCAGTAGTTTGGGCTTATATTTGTCCTATGCTTAACTCTTCTTCCAGCTCCATAGCTAGGACCGGGTGGAGGAAAGTGGTGTAGAGAGTAGGAAGAGCCATGGAGGGCTCTTGCTTCTATTTCCTTTCCTGACTACTAGGATTCCTACCTAGCATGTTGTACCTTGCAAGACCACTTCTGGGAGGCACTGTTGCAAATAGGAGTGACATGGTTGCTTCACAAACAGATCATCTGAACAGTGCAAATTGACTTAGATAAAATTGGTTTGGTTAATCCTTCCTCTAAGAACAAGGCAACTTGCTCCAACTTGTAGATCTTAAAATAGTGTCAGTGGAGTCTCATAATTGCGTCCAACTAGTGTTCTGAGTGGTGAACCTTTCCATTCCCTCCTCCCCTAAAATCTGCTGACACCACAAAAATTGAGACGGAAACTCCAGAAGATTGGTGTGTGTGTGTGTGTGTGTGTGTGTGTGTGTGTGTGTGTTTGATCAATTAGCAAACATCATTGGCTTGGTGAAGAGGAAAGAATACTGGTTTGGTTGTTAGATCCCTTAGAACTGAAATCTCTCTTTCTAAACAGGAAGGTAGAACCCTGAAAGGCAAAGACAGGGATGAGATACAAAATTATATCTCAGATGGCTGTTTTTAGAGATAGCTGTCTTTGTGTGTTCATCATTCAATCTTTATAGATCTTGCTAAATTTCTAGATGTTAACCATGGGACTCAGCTGCTAGAAGAGGCTTGAGGGTGCTCCAACTCCATTTAATGTTGAGTTTTCATTCAGCCTTTTGTACAAAAGAAAGCTTTGCGTCCATGAAGTGCCTTCTTAAGCCGAATGTCCTGATTTGAAGCAGTGTATCATCAAAAATATGAGGTGTAACATGTCCTAATGGATATAATACAGTTCAAGAGGTTTGAAAGATAGCTCCTTAAATTGTGACATTTATTTATTTGTGCGCATGTGTGTGCATATGAACATGCATGTGTGCCATAGCATCCGTGTGGATGTTAGAGGAAAACTTGTGGAAATAAGCTCCTACTTTTCACCACATGGGTTCTGCAGATCAAACTCAGGTCGTCAGTCTCGGTGGCCAGCAATCTTACTTTCTGAGCCATCTCACTCGTCCTAAATATGGTCACTTTTTGAAATTTTGGGACAAAGTCCGCATTGTGCTAAGTGTCTCTATTTCTGGATCCTTAGCAAACACTGTGTTCATCACTGAGTAGTACACAGAGGACGGTAGAAAAGCGCTTCTCTGTGTGTTGAGTCATAGCGTCAAGTGAGAAGTTCAGATGAGTGGAGGCGGGAGAAGAAAATCCTCCTTTATTACTACCCTGTGTAGACTGCTAGTCCCTCTTACCCTCTCTCCTCTCCTCTAAGGGTTAGTATATGCGTCTCTATCCATTTTCAATTACTAAAACTCTGCCGAAAGTTGTCTGTGGGCTGAAGAGGTTCCTGTTCTGCGGCTTTTTCTGTCTGCTGCTTTTTTTCATCTTTTTATTCTTCATGACCGTAATCACATAACATTTTTGGCAGTCAAACTTTCAGGTTCTGTATTTCCCCCTAGAAAGCCTATAAAGTGATGAGGCTACGAGATGGCATAAGATGCTTCAAGTAAACATGGCCGAGGGATTCTGGGGAAAAAAGGTGACAACATCCCACCATCACTTGGTCCATGTGAGGTTTGCCCAAATAGAATATACACTATGATGTTGGTTCAGCATAAATGGGTTAGAAAAGTGTGGGTTCTTGTCCCTCTACAGCACTCTGGTTGCCTGACCTTGGACTTTGTATCAGCCTCTTTCTGCAGGTCAGAGTTCTCTAGTTGATGATGAATAGTATCCTCTGACTCTGGATCATCCTCTTACAGAGACCAGATGATCTGATAACAAACACATTATATAATGAAAACTCTTCCTGAAATCTAAAATCCCAATATTTGCAATTTGCTCTGATAAGAACATAATGTGTAGGCATGGAAGACAATGTTAATTTAGGAAAGAAAAATGTGTAGTGTGTGTGTGTATACAGTCCAGAGATAGAAAAATGGTTTCTAGTCCAGAATCCTCTATCACTTTGTCTATGGCCTTTTGTTCAGTGTTGCTAGGATCCATGTGGTTCCCCGGAGAGTAGAAGCTTGATTTAAAATAGGCCTCTGTTTTCTGTCCCTTGTTACTGATCAGAACTTGGAGTCATCGAAGCCTAACATTCAATAGAATGCCCTACATACATACATTACAAGTTTTATTATGTAAAAATAACTGTCCATCCTGGTAGACCACTAAATACTTTAAAAATCACTGAGTATTTAAAATATATCATTGAAAAAGCAAGGATTGGAAACTCAGCCTTAAGATGGATAAAAATCTGTACTGATAGCATAAGTAAAGATGTTTGTTATTCATTTGTTCCCCAACCTTATAACTTTGCCAGTGTAATCTGTATTAAGATAATGGTGTTATGAATCATACTTACAATTCTTGTTAAACATAGGTTACCTCAGCAAATCCATTTTTGGTTACTTCAATTAATCATTTTTAAAATAATATTTTTATTTCTCGAAATTTTTATATTTATACAATATATTTTGATCATACTTGGATTAATCTTTTGTACTTACAGCAGACTTAGGATTTTTGGTTTTGCTAGTTTGCTATTCGTTTTAATGATTACTACATTAAACAAAATATACAAAGTGTTAGATTTAGGAGCTAATTATTGGAAGGCAGTAGCATTAAATTCATGTACTATAAAATGCTAATTAGGCTTTGATACCTATTAGGCAGAAACTGGATCAGGTCTC